TTTTGGGAATAGCACCATTGGCAATTGCTACTACTGGTCGTGGAAGCTCCGGCGTTGGTTTGACCGCAGCGGTGACTAGCGATCGTGAGACTGGTGAAAGACGACTAGAAGCTGGTGCTATGGTTCTTGCTGACAGGGGTGTCGTGTGTATAGATGAATTCGACAAGATGTCCGAGATTGATCGAGTTGCTATTCACGAAGTCATGGAACAGCAAACGGTGACGATTGCCAAAGCAGGTATTCACACCAGTTTGAATGCCCGGTGCAGCGTTGTCGCCGCTGCTAATCCCATCTATGGCCAGGTTTGTTACAAACATTCTCTTTTAAATCCATTGCTCACGTTTTTGTATTAGTACGATGTCCACAAGGATCCGCACCGGAATATTGCACTACCGGACTCCCTACTCTCGCGTTTCGATTTACTGTTTGTCGTGACCGATGATGTCGAAGAAACTCGTGATCGGAAAATAGCAGATCATGTCCTGCGCATTCACCGCTATCTCCCTCCCGGCGTTGAAGAAGGAACGCCGGTACACGACAATCTATCGCAACCGCTCTCTGTGGATGGGCCTGGTACGGCGCCAGCGGATGCGGAAACGAATACGAGTCCCTTCGAGAAGTTTGACCCACTGCTTCATATGGGTGTTGGCTCCACATCTAGTGGACGTCAGACGCGTAGTAAAAGCAAGTCAACCAAGAAAGAAGTTCTCAGCATGACATTTGTCAAAAAATACATTCAATATGCCAAGAGCAAACCGGCTCCTGTGCTATCCAAAGGCGCGGCGGACCATATTGTGCAAGTGTATGCAACCCTTCGGAACGAAGATATGGAAGCGAACCAAAGAAAGGTTTGTCCTATCTTTTCTCCGAGGTAATTGACATTGACTATGGAAAAACTTCCAGACTTCGCCCTTGACAGCGCGTACCCTAGAGACCTTGATCCGTCTTGCAACTGCACATGCCAAAGCTCGACTCTCGTCGAAAGTGGAGGAAGGAGATGCGGTCATGGCTGAGGAGATAATGCGGTTTGCACTCTTCAAGGAGGTACCTAAGCGGCAACGTCGAAAGAAGAGAAAGCTCAACACGGGGGGCACATCGCGGAGAGGAGGCGATCAGGACGGTGAAGGTAGCGACGAGGACTCTGATGATGATGGTTCCGGAGACGAAGACAACGTCCCGGACAGGATGCCTGGTGCAGGCGCGAGCCCTGCGAATGAAGATGCTTCGCGTCAAGCACCCGTCGAAGATCATGATCCAGTGTGGGGTGATGCAAGCCAGGATGTTGACATGCTACCTCCTCCACCAGCTGGCCCCGCGGATGATGGTACTATTCGTCCGGAGAGGTGAATACTTTCTGAGCCTCGAGGCAAATGATGATGCTGATATGTTGAATAGATTGGAGCTGTTCCGAACTAGGTTCTTGCACGCATTCAAGAACAATCTCCAAGATGCGGAGCAAGCGTCTCTTACTGAGCTCCTCGAAGCGATTAATCAGGGACTCTCCACTAGCCAACTCTTTGGCACAGCAGAGGCGACTTTGGCGTGTCAAGCTATGCAGGATGCCGACCAATGTATGATAAGCGATGGTATAGTATATAGGGTCTGAGCGCTAAGCTATCATCTTGTTTTCACCTTACTGTTGTCGTGGTGTTATCGGTTACCTATTTTGTGTATTTCTGTAGATGTATACCTCCTCCAATTGAATATCGACAGGTCAGATCTTTGACACAGAATCTCGAAGCAGAAAAATGTAAAGAACAATGAAAAGTCTATGCCTCCCGTCGGCGCAGAATCCTTCCAATCTCCTCTCTGCTCATCTCCACACCGCCAGTCATATTCTCCATTACCTGCTCCCACTCCTCTTGGCTCTTGCCCCCAAATGTAGCATCCGAAATGTGATCCCACATTTCACCTTCGGCGGCCATTACTCTTGCACCTTGCAACAGCTTAAACCACGGAGCCTCCACCCGCTTTCGTCCGCCTCCCAGAGATCCCGCAAGACTCGTTTGGCAGGTCTCAACCCAAAGCTCGCTCTCTGCCAGGGCTGTCTTGCCATCTGTCAAAGTAATATTCCCGCGGTATAGAATTTGCCGTTGGAGGATATGTTCTGCGAGCCTCGATGCGATGCGACGGTACAAGCTGGTCACTGTAGCCTTGGGGAGAGTGGCTTTGATGTAGGTAAGGTGCGCGGAGAGTAACGCAAGGGGACCGAGCAGTGTCTGAGATAATGAAATGTCGTCATCTGAAGGAGGGGTATTCGGGTTTGGTCTGTGTGCATTCCGTTCAAAAATAGCTATTGAAGAAAACAAATGGACATACGAAGTCATAGCTTGGAAGTGTGCTTTTAGCCCCGCTTCCACTTCTGCGCACACTTGCTGAACGATGATATCCTCTGAACGACCTCCCAACTTCCGATACTGTACAACCAATTCCTCAAAAATCGTCTCCTGCGAGTTATCAGATGATGCAGTTGTCGGGTCAGGTAGAGCAGAATGTGCTTGAGCTTGCGCTCTCAATCCTGCTCGACGATTGATTTCAGTCCAAAGCTCGAGGAAAAACTGTTCAATAACCACGTTAATACTGTCATGGTCGTAGCATGGTAATCACAAACGCACCAACTCTTCTCCCCACTGCTCCATCGCAGCTTCAACGTGCCGAGCACTCAATAATGCTTTGCACAGCCGCTGTACACCTTCAACGCCACTAGTGAGTCGGCGAGTATCCACGTTCACTTTCGTATCATCCTTGACACCTAGGGTTACACCGAGCGCGCCAGGAACCGCTCGAACCAAAGCAGACGAAAGCGTCTCAAACGCATCTAAAGACGCAGATATGCGGCCATGATATGATTCGAGGATAGGTAGCTGCACCACAATGAGGAATCTGGTCCGATGGGAGAAGTTTGGTAGGGGAGAATAGCGGTCTATTTGATCATTTTGGTCAGTTCAGTATGAAGGGATCGGTGAAGGTATGGTCATTACCTGTGATCTGTTCAACCAAAGCTTTCACCCGTCTCGCAGAGTTCGTCGTCTTGTAACCACTGTTAGAGTACTCTGACTCAGGGTCGTCATCCGCAATTTGCCAAGCATCGGATGCACTGATGATTTCGTGGTATTGGTCATCAGCGACTATAGGGCACACGGGGTCAACCGCCATGCAAATCGTTAGAAGCATTGTCGACTTACATCTCTTCTCTCCTTCGACCCAAGCATCGAACCACTCCTTCTTTCCGAGTATAACCTCACTAATTCCTGGCCATCTATTCTCCTCATCGGATGTTCCTGCGCTAGTGGTTTTGTGTAAATCGAACCCTGTCTCAAGTAGAGAGGCATCGAAAGACAAGGCTTGGTATATCGTGTGCGCCAGTAACGAAGGGTGAGATAGCAGAGATGGGACGGTTCGTCGGAGTTTCCGTGTCAAAAGGGGAAGGAGCAGTACCGTGAACTCTCGCTACATCTTTTCAGCAATCGGTAGCAGAAAAGGGTGAGAAGTACATACCCAAGCGTCAATATTTTCGTGTCCGGAAGTAGCAATGAGTTGCTGAACAACGGTTTCCATGAATGTTCGATGATCGTGGATAGCATTTAGAACATGGGTAAAGTACCACTCAGGCTGTAATGAATGAGAAATATAGGTACGCAAGACCAGTGCTTGAACCCACCTTGTCGGGTCTATTTGTCTGTCGAGAGCCTTCAAAGTGGTATTTGAATCGTAGAGATATAGGTTGGACCAGGGCCTCCAGAGGATATAAGCCCTCGTTATTGGATGAGGCCTTGATTTGTACGCCACTGGCGATGCTATGAGCAGAAACAGACGCTGACAATATATCTTTACTGACATTTTCTGTAGCTGAAGCATATGTCGGAAAGTAGCCTCAAATCTTGCTCGGTCATTTGGGGGTACGGAGGGATAGTTGACTTGCATCGGCCACTTTATTTGCTCTGCTGCTGTCAATAGTAGCCTAGGGAACTCGTCAGCACGAAGGTAAACGTTTCCAAAACAACAGAGCGTACTCAGCAAGAGCGGACTTCATGTCAGCCCAAGTTTTCTCCCGCAGATTGTTCAAGAAGCTTGAGAGATGTAAGCTTTGGGTTCCTGCTGTAGCCTCTGCTTCCGAAGTAGCTTCAGATACCTTGGAAACAAAGGACTGAAGTGCTTGGAATTGTGCAACCGCGGATATTGAAATGACAGCTGCAGCAGATGCAGAGACAACGTCTTGTACAGCTGCTTCACTAGACAAAGTTTAGAAAGAGTATTGTAAGAGACTGACGCTCAAGCGCACCTCAACTTCAAAGCATGTTCCACAACCATAACATATCCTCTTATACTCTCCAGCTCCTTCAAGTTCCGATGCAGGGTCTCGATGTCTTCTAATAGTGTCGGTGCTAGCCCATTCGAAGAAACCGATGCCAGTCGTTCCGAAAGGTCACTGAGCTCATCCGCAATAGAATGCCTGATCAGAGAAAGCTCTTGAGCTGTCTCCACGTATGACTCCGCTGAAGTACGCGTTTCCAATATCACTTCGTCCAACCTAGCTTTCGAGGAGCTAAGCTAATCTATGACAAGTCTCTTGAATATAGCAAAAGGGATTTGGGACTGAATTGCGTACACTGGTGGATAATTCTGTATGCTGATTCTTCGCGTCAATGAGCACTTGTTCAATGCCTGCAAGGTCCTCTACCGTTTGGAAGCGAGAGTCGATGAAAGATACCGTGGATTTCTGGGGTTCTTTGAGGCTCGGAGGCTCGAGCAGAGAACGTATTTCTTGTGAAGTCATGGTGCAGGTCAAGGCCAGTCACTAGCAGCGTGTCTGTCAGTCAGATCTCCAAAGATGGCATTTCATGCTCATCACATGCCCTAACAACTTGGGATTCCCGAGCTATCAGTGCCTCGCTAGCACTGCTCAGCCTATGGCGTACGTTTTCTCAGTTTGCCATCATTTTAGTGTGAGCAATCGCATGAACCAAGAAAAAAGTGAACGATGAGGCTAAAAAGCGTAATGCATTAAGAGGGAATCGAACCCCCGGCGGGTCGAGCAACACTCATGTGGCAACGACCCAGGTTACCACTACCCCATTAATGCTCTTCAATCTGGCCATGCAACAAGTGTATCAGTGGGCTTTGTAACATTGAATATTTGAACGGGAAGCCTACACTCCTTGGAGGATTTAAATCAGCTAACCAAAAAAACTCTAGGCCGCTTTCTAGTTAGATTATAAAGCAGTTCCCATACCCACGCCAGGGCCAGCCGCTAGGGCAACTGGCTACGTCACATCTCACACCATTTTTTCTCTCACGGCTTGCGGCACCTAGTTTTGACCAGTGGAAATTCAAAAGGAAACCTGAGTTAAGTAAGAAATCATATTTGATGGTTTTGCTGCCATATATGGGATATTTCCACTGGAAAATTGTATTTCTTTGTCACGAGAAAAAACATTCCTTTCTCCTGTGAAAAAGGAGTCATTTCTGCCAGCCATTTTTTAATTCCCGACGATCGGATTGTCCTTCTTTCAGGGCTTTTCAGTGCTTTCCGACCATCGCCCACCGTCGCACAATGGCCGGGAATTTTGAAATGGCCGGTAGAAATCAGTTCTTTTGCTCGGAAGAAAAGTTGTTAATTTTCACACTGAAAGCACTTAACTTTTGACCCAATAAATCAGCCATTCTTGGGGGAAAAAATGGTCTATTTTGCGCAGAGTCTAATACAACTTTTTGCTTGAATTTCTGCCGCGAGAAAGTTGGCTCGGCAACTCGTGTCTGTTCCTTCAAGTTCTTCCATGTCGCCGGGAAACTCTGAAATGAAGACGCAGACATCATTATATCCCCTTCAATGACCACTCTCTCAGTATTCCAATTCATCAACGTTGACACATTTGACATAGCGTCGCCCCCAACTACCAACACCCTCAACAACTATTGATATCATCTTTCTGCACTCCACCAAGCCCAGTAGAAGCCAGACTCCCTTCAACTGGCACAAGAATGTAAATAGCATGTATTGAATGGTCCGGATGCGAAGGGTAGCTGGAGGCGCACAAGAGTCGGGATCCCGACTGGTTGGGGCGGGATTTACTTACGTACCATAAACATCAGCATTTTCGCACTTTGGTTGTTCCGGGTTGCACAACCCGCAGCAACCCACTAAAACCGGTAATCTCACAGTGCTGGCAGGCTATGCCTATTTTTACGACAACCTATCTGAGGCAACCTTGCAACGTCAACCAAGTAGTGACAGGGAATGTTCAATTTACGTGGTTTTATTGTACATTGTAGATTTACGGTACTCTGATTCAGACATATGCCTTGGCTGCCTGCTTCCTGGTGGCAACATTGACTTGAGGGTGGGTGAATATGGACGCCTCTTTCGTCGTTTCGTCGGTATCTACATGGTATGTGTAAGCTAAATGAAAGGAACATGGTGGACCGGAACGTACCAGTTCCTTTTCTTCTGATTGTGAAGCGCTGACCGTACCAAATTCATCGCTATCGTATGTGCCGTTTGCGTATGAATCAGTGCTCGATGCAGGCTCCGCCTCCTCGGATTGCTGTGATTGACAGGTTTGCGCACCCTGTTGGGCTGATGCTTTTGTTGAACTACGGTGGTGTTGTGTATGCCGAGTTGATGGAGACAAGAGCATGGTACTAGATCCTTTATTCATTGACTTAGCGCATTCACTACACTGTAAGAATATTCATGACGCACCATTTTCCAATGACACTGTCCGCCTAGCTTTTACAACAGATCTCGGTGACTTTCCAGGTGAACAAACTGCGTCACCTGTGATGGATGTGAATAGTTGACTGTACTAGCAGAAAGAGACATGCTTACCCACAAGGTCATTGATAGCCTCTGCTGCCTCATTCACCTTCTTCCTTCTAAGCTGTAAGCGCTCCGCTTCGAGGAAGTCATCGATGTCCTGGGAATTGATTGAGAAATCTTGAGACTCGGTAACGACGAGATTATAGTTGGGAGGAAGGTAAGAGGAATTGTTTTCTTCATTTTTTGGTTGAGTGTTGCTGGATTGCGAATGATTTTGAGCTTGAGCAGCTGACAACGAGCCTTCAGAAGATGGTGTGACAGCAATTCGAAGTGTCTAAAAAAAGTGATTAGGCAGGAAGAGAAATAACGAAAGGAACCATACCAATGGCTTTTTGAGCTGATCCTCCTCTATCGCGATTGTTATTGACGGTCGTTGTGGCGACGTTGTTGCCAGCTCATACAATTTTTCTCCATTACGGGGCCGAATCTGCAAGTCGATATAGTTAGGCTTAACCTGCCTAATAGTCAGTGATGAGGAATCAAGCATGTAATGGAAGAAAAGTAACAGACTGCGGTTTGAAATTTTCGTCGTTGTGGACGCCAGCGTCAGAAATGTGCCGCGGGCATTTTCGGGCCAATTATCTTACCCATTTCTGACTCATTCCTGGTCTCGGGCCTCAGGCTTGATATGCTAAGGGCTAATTCTTGTATTTTATGACAGATAGTATAGTATTGTATGTACTGTAGAAGGATCTAAGACCACCGTAACCCATGGGCTAATACACAATGTATTCAAGTTTGCCCGACTGTGTTATACCTAGTTGTCATCTGAACGTGTAGGGCTACTGTGCGGAATGAAAAGATTGCGGCGCTTGGCATCCATGGAGGGTGTCTGCATTGGCTGGATCTTCTTCTCCTCTAGCCGAGCCCCACAGGCAGCCATGATATGCTTCCATTGGTGCTCCTTAATGTGACGCGTATTCTCCATGTAGTCCTCGACAATGCCCCCAACCCGAGCAGAAGAAAAGTCGCCTGCAGCTTTAAGGGGCTGCTTTACACCATCGACACAGTACAACTTAAATGCCCGTTCAAGCTATGATATGACAAGTTAGCTGTGAATTGATCATACGCCAGCAAGAGAACATACCGCAGCTGCTGTGAGAGCCACAAGCCCAACAGGTTTTCCACCATTCCAGCTTTGGGTACCAATTGCGCTATTGAAGGATTTTAGGAAAGGTGACATTGCATTCAAGACAAAAGTTGACTCGAAGAGGCCTGTGGGCTATGTCAAAGGATGTGTGAGATACGACATTAGTTCAGGATATGGTAAACATACTGATTCTCCGGGATTCTTGTAAATGAGGGGGCCGTTGGGGTCGAGAGCATACAATGCAAATTTCTTGATGTTCTTCGGCTTCCCTTTATATTCAGCTCCCTCAAAAAACCTTGTAACAACGTCCACCGCAATGTTTCCGACCTTGGAACGCTTTTCATTGAGTCGTTTGTATGCCTATAGGTGTAATGAGTGTGCGGCTCAACGCCAAATAAGACAACTCACTTTCTGAAACAACGGAGACTTGATTTCAATCTGGTATCCATCTGGTTTCTCAGTTGTTGCGTAGACAAGGTCAACGACTTCTTGTACGATTACAAGGAAGTCATCATCCTTTGTAAAGTCTCCGAATGGCTTTGTTGAACAGTACATGCGAGCGTACAATGTCGGGAGAAATTTGCTTGCCCATGTATCTCTTGCCCAATCTGGTAATCCCTTTGTTTCAGCATCAGCGGTCTCAACAGACTCAGTAGAATCTGCAGCCTGGAGTTTGACGGCTCGAGTACCTAAAACCTTCGAGGTGACAGGTGTTGGAGTAGTTGGCGCGGCTTTCTGTTTCTTGATGGTCTTTGGAATTGCTCGGCGCATTGGTGCTGGGGTGGTCTCTTCAGGACTAGACATGATGTCGCTGTCACTGTTGTCATCAGTGAGGTTGGCTAGGGTGATGAGCTGACGGAAAGTTAGCAACGTGAAGTGTAACGAATTGAACCCAACAACACATACATCATTTGTCCGGGATTTGGCTACAGTGCTCTTCGGCCTCTGACTCTCAGCATCTACATCATCCAGTCCCCCAAGTACAGGCTCTGGTGCCTCTGCTCGCTTGCACCAATCTTTCAAGAGACCCGTGCTCTGACTACCGGCTGACTGGGATTCAGATGTTGAGCGGAGTTTCTTGGAGGCTTGAGTCCTAAACAAGCAATGAGACGTAAGTGAACATGAGGCCAACCCCGACGTGAGAAATGGGTCACCGAGGTCTTATGATGTTCACCTCTTCATCAGAACCTTCATCTTGTCGCTTGCGTGTCACCCTCAGCTTGGCCTTTTTCTCTTCGATGGCCCCTCGAAGCTCGTGCTTGTGCAGTTTGGCAGGTTTCTGAACAATCCAAGTGAGTCAATCAGTGTCCCGATGGGAAATGTATGCTTACTTTGAGAAGTTTCGTTATCTGCTTTTGAAGCAGTCCTTCATTATCTGAGCCTGGTTCAATATCGTCAACAAAGCTTTGGTCAGTGTTCTCTCCGTCATGAGAATCTCCCTCTGAACAGCTCTCTACTACAGGCTCTTGCTCGTCTTCTTCCTCCTCATCAACTTCCATCATCGCAAGCTTTTCCTGAGCAGCCTGGATCTTGGCATGAGCCTCCAGGATTATCCTCTGCTGTTCTTCACAGTCCTTGGCTTTTGCTTCAGCAGTGCGTCGCTTGCGTGGCAGGTCAGGAGCAGCTGGATTTTGCACTCGAGTAGTACGGTCTGGAAGAGGTGATCGAGGGACTGGTGCAGCCCGTTGTCGTCGTTTGGGTTTTTCGTTAGTGTTAACAGGAGGAGCAGGCGAGATGAGAGCAGAGTCTGGTGTGTTCGATGTAGGTGCAAGTGTCCCTTCGGATGCCTGACCCTTTTTTTTTGACACTTTGGCAGCTTTGCCTGACTTTTGCGCGACCATTGCTGGTGAAGAGTCTGAGGACTGGCGGAGAAACTGCAGAAGAGCGGCAATGGACGTGAAAAGAGTCTGTTTATGTTTGTTTTGATAGACATGCAATCAACACAAGTCTTTTTTCAATCTTTCCTTGCACCTGTACCAACCAACCATGCCTCGACTTCGCTCTACGTCCCAGTATCAGTGCTCCCAGTGTCATAGGAGCTTTAAGACAAGCGGAGGACGTACTCGACATGTAAATGCGAAACACAGACCCCCGACACCTCCTCTGATAGACGAACCAACTCCAGAATTCCGATACCAAAGGCATCCACATCTATCAGGTTCGTACACTGCTT